TGCAACCAAGCCAGACAAATTTGGGATCAAGTTCTGGATGGCCACGGATTTGGACACCAAATATGTCTGCAGTGCATCTCCTTACTTGGTAAAGGACCCCAGTCGTCAGAAGGGAGAGAGGCTGGCAGAGAACGTGGTCATGAAACTGATGGAGCCGTTTTTTGGATGATGGGAGAAATGTCACAACAGACAATTTCTTTACTTCACTGTTACTGTTGCACAGACTGCTGCAGCGCAAAACAACGTTACTGGGCACGGTGAATAAAGTCCAGCGTGAACTTCCTCAACTTGCAAAAGATACTGCAAAGCGAGAGGTATTCTCCACTTCAGTGATTAGAAGTGGCGGAGTCTCCTTGACAATTTATGCACCTAAAAAAACCAAGACTGTGTGTGTTCTAAGTTCCATGCACCATGATGTGATGATTGGTGATGGCAGAAAGAGGAAACCCAACAAACTATAACCACATGAAGGTATGTGGATGTGTGTTATATAGGCCTATAAGGGGAAAAAAAACTACTCATGACTCTCTCTCTCTGCTTTTACAGTGTGGTGTAGACGTGTTGGACCAAATGGCGCAGATGTATTCCGTAAGAGCAGCAACACGCAGGTGGCCAGTAGCGGTTTTCTACAATATGCTGGACCTGGCGGCGGTGAATGCCTAGATTTTGTACAAGGCATGTACAGGGTGGACAGGCAAAAGAAGATTGTTTCTGAGTCTTCTAGCTCAGCAACTTCGTTGCCGATTCATGCAGCTCAAGGAAATATTAGCACAGAGGCAGGCTGCTGAAGCTGCTGTGCCAGGGACTGTAAAGACAATGCAGTGCCAGGTGCAAGAGAGCTGCAACCAGAATCGCAGCAGGTTTACCTGTGCAACATGTCAGAAATTCACCTGTGCCAAATGCAGGGATGATGGACACTGGGTCTGCAAACGCTGTAAAGTCTGAAAGACTTTGAAATAAAACAGACTTGTGTACCCATATATTGTGAATGTGTATCTTTTGTATGTAGGTTGTAACACAGAGGTTTGGCCTGCCTTGGGTCTGAGTAAACAAATGCTAATGTTGCACAAACACACACACCGCAAATCTGCATTTATTTGTGCCAAAAATGGAAAATCTGCATTGTCATTGCAAAAAAGTGGACAGTGCAAGACAAAAGCAGCTAAATAAAAACTGTACAAAGAGCACGGTATAGAAAGTGCACTATACAAACAATCTGGAAACATAAAAATGGACACATGTATTCAAAAATATTGGTTTATATATATATATACGTAAGGTGTTCTCTGCCGTTTATCTTAGAGGTGGATGCTAGCTATCAGGGCCTAGATGCAGTGCTCTCCCAAGAACAGGCAGGGAAGATCCGACCTATAGCATATGCCAGCCGTGGCCTTCGTCCTACAGAGCGTAATATGGAAAGCTATAGCTCTATGAATTTGGAGTTTCTGGCCTTGAAGTGGGCCATGACTAAAAAGTTCAGAGATTATCTGTTGGGGCAGAAGTATATACAGATAATAATCCCCTCAGTCATTTGTCCACAGCCAAGCTGGGCGCTACAGAACAGCGCTGGGCTGCACAGCTTGCTGCCTTTGATTTCACCATCAAGGATCGACCTGGTCGAAGTAATAAGAATGCAGATGCTCTCTCACGGCAAAATCCCGCTGAAGTTACTTCAGTTAATGGTCTCTGGTACCGCTCTGCCTGCCCCTTTGCAACAGGTTTTTGGTGTGAAACCACTAAATGAGGCTGTTCAAGCCACTATCTTAGTCTTTCCAGGACATGCGCCGTCTGACCTTTGTGTTTTGCAGGAGGCTGACCCTATTATTCAGGAGTTTCTGAGATTACGGAGAAGGGGGCCTGATGCAACTGAACGTGGCCAAACCTCGAGGGAAGTCCTCGAATTGGTCAGGCAATGGTGTAGGTTAGTGGAGCAGGGTGGTGTGTTATATCGCAAGGTCTCTCATCCTAGGGGAGAAGAGATGCTGCAGGTGCTATTGCCCAAGTCACTGCAGGGTCAGGTTTTGCATCAGTTGCACCAGGAGCATGGACACCAGGGTGTAAAGAGAACCGTAGACCTGGTTTCTCAGCGGTGTTACTGGCCGGGGATGTACCATGACATCCAACAGTGGTGCCAGGAGTGTGAGTGATGCCAACTAGCTAATGATGTTCAAATCTATCCTAACGCTTACATGGGCCATTTGCTTGCATCCCGACCAAATCAGATCCTTGCAGTTGACTTTACTGTATTGGAGCCGTCACGTAATGGAGTTGAAAATGTTCTTGTTATGACAGATGTGTTCTCAAATATATACCCAGGCCATCCCAACCCATGATCAACGGGCATCGACAGTGGCAGAAGTGTTGGTGAAGGAGTGGTTCTGCAGATTTGGCGTGCCAGGGCGTATCCATTCCGATCAAGGTAGAAACTTTGAGAGTAATCTGGTTGAGCAGCTTTGCCAAATATATGGTATTGAGAAGAGTCGCACTACCCCTTACCATCCAGTCGGTAATGGTCAATGTGAGCGGTTTAATCGCACTTTACACAATTTGCTGTGCACCCTCCCTACCTCTCGGAAAAGGGACTGGGCTTATTATATGCCACAAGTGATCTTTGCATATAACACCACAGTACGTCAGTCTACAGGCGAGTCACCATTTGCTCTGATGTTTGGCCAAGATCCCCAGTTACCCGTTGACTTTTTGTTGGGTAGGATTCAGGAGCCTGTAGCTGGTAGCACCCATGACTGGGTTGTAGAGCACCAGACTCGACTACATCATACATTTGAACTTGCTAATAAACGCTTGGGGGCTGCAGCTAATTGGCGCAAGATACGTCACGACCAGCATGTGAGGGATGCTCCCCTGCATGAAGGTCAGTTGGTTTACCTTAAGGAGGTTGGGTTTAGAGGCCGTCATAAAATTCAGGATGTTTGGAGTTCGGTGGTGTATAAAGTGCTTAAGGCCCCTGACCAAAAAGGGTCCGTGTACACTATTGCTCCGGTAGATAACCTGAGTCACGTGAAACATGTCCACCGTTCACTACTAAAGAATAAGGTGGAAGGTGTGACCACCTGCCCTCCCAGTGCTCTGATCCAAACATTAGAAACTGCCCTTGTAGAAGAACTGATGCAAGGTGGCGAGTGGTTTTTATTGGTCTCTGAACCTACTCCAGCCCCAAACAGTTGCCAACCAAGACCAGAGAATCCTAGCCCTCGTAGACCAGACGAGCTAGAACCCTCAACGTCCCCAATGGTGTCGGCTTGCACTGAGGCAAAGCTAGCGGTGCGCCCTCTCGGTCGGTGACAGAGACTTGCTCGCTTATCATGGTGATAGAGGAAAGAGGAAGATCACTGACAAATGGGAATCCACAGTTTTTAAGGTGGTATCTGTGAAACCTGACATCAACGTATACCACATTAGAGACCCTATGACACTGAGGGAAAAGGTTGTTCATTGAAACCTACTACTTCCTGTGAGTTTCCTTCCTGCAGGAAATGAATGCTTACCATTGTCAACTTGTCCCTCAGTTGCGGATAGTGGACAAGGTGAACCAGAACTTCCAGGCAATCTGCAGGACGTGGGGACAAAGAAGGCTCACTGGCTCATGCAGATGGACCAAGCGAGTGATAGGGAGTCTGCCGTTGGTCAAACTGGTTGTTCTCTTGGTGCGGCATTGAGCGTCCCAACCTCTGAGGCAGAATCGACTGTGGCTCCACATGCTGTGTGTGACGTGTTGGTTTCCCAATATAATTTGTATAATTTTACCACTATATGATCACACTGCAAGTGTAAATGTAATCCTCAGAGTATTGGAGGATTCCTGTGAGGCTGACTGGTCACGACAATAAACGAAAGCATTCTAACTTGTTGCCTTTTTGTTGTGAATGCAGACCAGAGAAGACACTACACAGAGGTCACACTTGTCATTTAGACAGCTGTTAGCACATGATTCTCCTTATGGGGACCTGATACGTTTAATATGCTGCTGAGAATATAGCCCAGAAGAAGCGTATAGTATAGCTTTTATTTTGGAAAGAGCCATTTCTCTGTAATAAACTCTCTTTACCAAAGATGAGTGATTTCTCAATCAGATAGATTTTTTTTATTACTTTGTTGTTTCAGCAACATTTAATTTAAAAATGGTACTTTTGAGTTAAAATATATATTTATGATTTTAATAAATGACAAATTAAAAAGTCATGAACATTTTTTTTCTATCGAAAAAATATCGAACCGTGACTCCAAAGTATCGAACCGAACCGAACCGTGAATTTTGTGTATCGTTGCACCTCTAATATATATGTGTAATATATATGTGTCCTTAGTGTCGGAACAGAATTGGGGGAAAAAGCTTTTGAATAAGTTGCCTCTGGAAAAATCTACAGAAGGAGTTTAAAGTTAAAGAAGTGAGAGAATGGCTCAATTTGATCAGTGTGAATTTTGTCATTGTTGGATTTATAATGACCTGTTATTTTATAAGATTCTTGATTCATGTTTGTGTTGTGGTTTTGTTTTTTTGTGTTGTGTGTTTGTTGTTTTATAGGATTTGTGAATTCATGATTCATGTTTGTTCATTCATTCACTTGTCTGTGTGGAAAATTGTGTTTGCTTCTTTATTTGTCACACATTGTATTTGTTGTAACTTATACATGACTCTGCTGGTCACTCTTGTAAAACGGATTTTAATCTCAGTGAGGTATTTACGTGGGCAAATAAAGTAAATGTGCAGCCTCTGAGTCAGATCAATGCAGTGAAGCACACAGACTGTTTAGTAAAGTCATGTTGTGGAGCTGTTTCACTGATCAATGACTGAGTCTGAAGGAGGTTTTCTGACTTCTGGAACAAACCTGGAAGTGTCTCTTCAGCTCTCTGTATCAGCTGTTTGTAACTCTCAACTCTTTCAGCTCCTGGAACAAGTTTGTGTGAGCCGCAGTCAAGGAGCCACCAGAGGACACCTGCTGACCATCGGCATTATGGGTAGTGTAGCAGGAGACACTCACCTGACATGAAATACTGACGGAAATAATATATGAGACCTCCAAAAACCACAAGAAGAACCAGGAGAACCAGAATAATCAGGAGAGCTATGGCCCAGGATGGAAACTGTTCTGTGGAAAAAAACACAAACAACATGTCCTTTGAACTCTGATCTCAATGTCCTGCACTGTATCATGGTTTTTATCTCCATGTCTGACCTTTGACCTGCAGCACTACTTTCTGTCTCAGGATGTCTTTGTCCCTGTAGATGATGCAGATGTATTCTCCACTGTCTCTCTCTGTGGGGTATTTCAGGGTCAGACTGAGGTCTCCAGTTCTTAGCAGGTCTTTGTTCATCTTTGTGCGACCACAGTAACGGTCGTCCTGCTTCTTAAGGTGGTCACTTCCATTTGAATATCCATGGACCATCATGATTTCTCTGTCAAATCTTGTCCACTCCACTGTGGTGTCCTCAGGCAGGTCAGGTGTTGTTTTGCATTGCAGAATGACAGACTCTGATCCTACAACGACCTCCTCCTCCAGTTCTTGGTCTGAGAGGACAGTAAACCAAATTATAAAAATTGCATCTGGAAAGTATTCCCAGTGTTTTATTTGTTCCACATTTTGTTATTCCAACATGGATTAGATTGAGTTTCACCTCACATTTCTACACACACAATACCGGGGGATTCCCATGATGCATTGAGTTTTTCCTTTCCAGTCACCTTTCTCACTCACTATGTGTTAATAGACCTCTCTGCATTGAATCATATCTGTTATTAACCTCTGCCTCTCTTCCACATCATGTCTTTATCCTGTCTTCCTTCTCTCACCACAACCGGTCGCAGCAGATGGCCCCGCCCCTCCCTGAGCCTGGTTCTGCCAGAGGTTTCTTCCTGTTAAAAGGGAGTTTTTCCTTCCCACTGTCGCCAAAGTGCTTGCTCATAGGGGGTCATATGATTGTTGGGTTTTTTTCTTTGTATGTATTATTGTACGATCTGCTGTACAATATAAAGCGCCTTGAGGCGACTGTTGTTGTGGTTTGGTGCTGTATGAATAAAATTGAATTGAATTTAACAATACCCCGCAATGACAGGCTACTGTTTAAATGATTGCAAATGTATTAAAAATAAAAAAAAATGAGAATAACATGTAATCACAAACTTTGCTCAGTGCTTTGTTGAAGCAACTTTGGCAGCAATTACAGCCTTCAGTCTTTCTCAGTATGATGCTGCAAGCTTGGCACCTATTTTTAGGCATTTTCTTTATTCTTCTTTGCTGACCCTCTCAAGCACCATCAGGCTGGATGGGGAGTGTCAGTGCAAAGGCATTGTCTAATCTCTCCAGAGATGTTTGATTGGGTTCTTGTCTGGGCTCTGGCTGGACCACTCAAGAACAAAGACAACAAAGTGGTGCCGAAGCCCTCCTATGTTATCTTGTCTCTATGTTTAGGATCGTTTTCCTGTTGGAAGATAAACCTTCAGCCAGTCCAAGGTACAGAGCACTCTGGAGGAGGTTGTCATCAAGGAGTTCTCCACACATTGGTGCATTCAGGAAATCTTTTAGTTCTTCCACTGTAAAATGTCCCACAACATGATGCTGTTTTTTCCAGACATGACACTTGGCATTCAGGCCAAAGAGTTTAATAGTGGTTTCATCAGACCAGAGAATTTTCTTTTTCATGATCTGAGATACTTCAGGGGCTTTTTGGCAAACTCGATTCAATGCATACTGTCTCAGAGGTCTGCAGACAATTCCTTGGACTTCAAAGCTCGATTTGTGTTCTGACATGTACTGTCAACTGTTGGACCTTATACAGACATGTGTGCCTTTCCAAATCATGTCCAATCAACTGCATCTATCACAAGTGGACTCCAATCAACAAACATCTGGCAGATTATCAGAGGGAACAAGATTCAACTGAGATTAAATTTTATTGTCCCAGAAAAGGCTGTGAGTACTTTTGTACATCTGTTAATTTTAGCTTAAATTAAAAAAAAAAAAAAAAAAATGGCTTAAATTTTAAAAAAAGTTTAAGCCAATTTTTTTCCATATTCATTATGGGGGTATTGTGCAGGAAGAATTTGGAGATGAAAAGCTGATTCCATCCATTTTGGAATAAGACTGTTACATAACAAAATGTGGAAAAAAAGGAAGGGCTGAGAGTATTTTCCGGATGTTCTGTAACTAAAGAAGCAGATTCAGTCACACTAATTTTAATCATAGAATCGACCTGATCTGAGATCTGAGCATCTGTGTTACTGCCAGTAAAAATAAATATCAATAATAAAGTCATTAAAATCTCTATTCTGCATGAAAAATATCAGGAAAGCTTGTGAGCCAAAACTGTGCCAGGTCTTCACAGTACTACTGTTAGTTATCACACATAAGTAAGAGACCATGTGGGGTTATTGTCTCTCGCTATTAGGCAGGTGAGGTGCTGGTTTTCCTGCACATGTAAGAATTTCTGGATCAAATCATCCAGATTTAGTAGAAACACCAATAAGATTCTATTTTCTTCTTCTTTGGTGTTCATGTTTTTATTTTTCCAGTGTGGTTGCATCTAGAAAACTTTACCACTATTTTATCAGTTTTTTCAGAACTAGAAAGATCTTTTCTGTTACTCTTTAGTTTGACCTCTGACCTTTATAATAACAGGTGTTGGGTTTTGTACCTTTGACATGCAGCTGTATGTCTGCCAGTTTCCGTTCCCCTCTTTCATTTCCGATGGAGCAGGTGTAGATGCTGCTATCAGTGGCTTCGGGGTTTCTCAGAGTGAGGCTGAAGTCTGAAGTGTCCAGAGCATCAGGCCTCATTGATGTGCGCCCGCTGTAATGCTGGTTTTGCCCTTTAAGATCATCCGTTTCCTCTCGTCGTAGGTGGACAGATTTGGGGTTGAGATCATTGCGAGTCCACAGCACTGTGGGGTTTTCAGGTATAAAACCTGAGTACTCGCAAGGCAACAGGACAGATTTTGCCCCCTCATACACCTCCACTACCGGAGCCAGGGCATGCTGGGAAACTGGAAGGAGACACAAGCACACACAAAAAAAACACTTCTTATGTGTATGCAGTAGATTTTGTCCTTGGGTTGATATAAAGTGGTTTCAGAAAGTTGCAGAATATGTAACGTCACTCTCAGCCATGTTTTATAAAAAGTATTCAAACACGGATTCTTCCTGTCCAACAAACACTGAAAGGACATCAAAGATGTTAAAGAAAACTGATGGATGACTGAACAACACTGAGGTGAAAGGAGGAAACCATCTCTTATTTTCTTGCATCTGTGTTCATTTCTTATTGAAAATGAACACAGATACAAGCAGATCTGAGCTCAGACGCCTTCCTGTAATGAGACAGCAGGGCTAACAACGACACCACAGTCCATCAATTTGTAACAAATAACCTCACCATGCAACAACATCAAATGAGGCAGAAACACAACCACACAGAAAACAAACAGTTTATTAGTAAACAGACATCCCAGTGTTACAACACATAAAAGTGTCACCACTGACAATGTTACACACAACTGGCAACACAACCAATTTTCATCTGTATCATTGGACACTTTTTCATCTTCTGTTTTTGCCATAGTCGTTAATCTTGTCAAACGTCACTACTCTCTGGCAGGTTTGTGGTTCTATCAGTAAGAAACAGACGTCTGGAACACACAGATAGTTCATCTTAAACAGATATGAACTCAGCTGTAACCCTGTGAGCACGCTGCATGAAGTCCCAGAGGGCGTTATAAGGAATAGAGTCAAGTAGAGTCAGTTTACATCCCGTAAACTCATGTTAGACTTTATGTTGTCTAAAAGCACAAACAGTTTTTTTGTTGTGTTTGCATTCAAAGAGCGCTCTGAGTACGAGGAGCAGGAGTGGCAGCAACATCTTCATCTCCAGTTAAAGTCCTGATAACAACAACACGCAGCTGCTGCTGCACTAAAGGTTTGGTGTTCTTAAGATAACCTGATCATTTCCTGTTGATCGTTCAAAATATTTATTTATTTATTTTTTCTTTTTATAGCAAATGACAGAATTAAATTTAGAGGAGAAACAACATGGCTAGATTGCTGTTTGCTGCTCTATGGGATTAATATTCTGCTGTCATTTGAAACTTAAATTTAGAAATTAAACTTTAAGCTTTACAAAACTGACAGTAGGATTTTAAGCTTTGTCAAAGCATCTTCATAAATTTACATCATTTTGTATTTGAGGTTTCCTTCTTCACACCTGCAGTGAGGATGTGCAGCTGTTTGACTCACTTGTTGTTACAGTCCTGGACCCGTGGCCCAGTGTTTAGATTTTGTATTATTGTTTTTAGGCTGTTTTCTTCTATTGTTCAAGGTTGCTAGTTTTTTGGTGTCTGTTTTGTATTTCCGAGCCTGTGGATTCCTTTGCTCCTTATGTCACTCTGGTCCTGTTTCCTGTTTTACTTTGAAGGTCTTGTCTCATGTTAGTGTATTCTGCTTTACTTCCTTGTCTTGTCTAGCCTAATGACTTCCAGCTGTCTGTCCACCTGTTCCTGTACCTGCCAGTGTATTTTAGTCCCTGTCAGTCAGTACTTGTTGTCCTGTTGTTAGCATCATTTCTCCCTCCTGGGTCCATTGTCCTGGGCCCTGTTTCAGAAAGCCGGTTTAGTGCAAACTCTGAGTAAGTATACCCTGAGTTAACGAAAACTCTGGGTTTTCGGTTTCACAAAGCGAGTTTAGATTAATCCTGAGTGAGTTACTATGACGACACACTCCGTGAAGCTAACCTGCCCCCTAGCAGGTTTACTTCAACTAACCCTGACGTTCTCCGCCTCTGTGTTGGAAACCTGACTGTAGGAAGTGTCAGACATGGCGTGCCCCTTCCTTGAAGAGCCAGTAGATGTTGAAGCCCAAATTCTCCGCAGAGCTCTCCGCCGGGAGAGAGTGATCAGAGCGCGTTTGGACATTTTATCATTTCCTGATGATTTCCTGTGTGAACGTTACCGTTTTTCAGCACAATCTATAATTTATTTGAATAACATCCTCAGGCCTAATATTGCTCATGTGACACATCGCGGACATTCTCTCAGTTCTGTACATATTATTTGTATTGCACT